AGTGGGAAGGAGGGGACCGCCAAAGGGTTCCTGGTGGCACAGTGTCTATGCGCTCGACCGCTGACCAGAGAAGTCTGCCGTCCGTCTGTCCGTCCATCCGTCCCGTGTGCTGCTGGAGAGAGGATAGCATTGACCACCCTGAGGGGCTGTTTCTCTCTCTCCTGCGTTGCCGTTGCCAGGAGTCCACAGTGACTCGGCACCCGTTGGCGTGGGTGTGTATTGATCCACCTGTAACAAGGCGGAGTCTCACAAGTCATCAGGTGAATGACAAACACCAGGCCAGAAGGAGTGCCAGCTCAGTGGTTCCATGGGTGGATGATTCTAGAAAGGGGAAGCTCCTCCGTGGAGACAGGAACCAAGTCAAGAAGAGTAGCAAAGAGGGGCGAAGTATAAAAGGCAGGAGAAGCCTTTTCGGGGACCTGGTCATATTTGTTCTTCATTGCGGTGATGGGTCCGTGAGCGTCCACCTCTGCCGACACTCTCCAGGTGCCTTCTACATGCCTACAGTCTGTGGATAATAGTGGTCGTACCTCCGAGCCAAAGCCGAACACTTTCAAAGCTGTCACGTTTAAGGACAGGGTGACCATTCTACTTAATTGCCCCCTTTCCCAAAAGGAAAGCCAAGAGCAAAAGGCAGTCAAAGCCAGCCCAGGGACCCTCCAGATGTACACCGAGAGCTGTGATCCTCGGCCTTTTAGACCCGTGTCCCCTTTCCAGACCACGAGCCCACAGCACCTTCTTCGGACTGCTCTTTCAGGAGCTGGATGAGTGAACAATAACTCACCAACCTGTGCGGAGCCCTGGTGGGTTGCTTACCACAAGGCTAATGAAGATGAGGGCATAAAATCACACAGCCTCGGCAGCTCCGAGGGCCACTTCCGCTCTGTCCTACAGCGTCCATAGGAGTCGGGATCATGGCGACAGCAGTGGGTTTGGTTTGCGTTCCGATGGCCCACATTTGTCATTTAAAACTAGGACCCGAAGCTGGAAGCAGACTCTGAAAGACTTGGAAGGCCATACAGTTGGATCTTGTCTTGACAGTAGTCATCTCCAGTCACATCCCCACATTAGGGAATTTTTAATTTGGA